AGATGAGTGGACTTCAACTCCCAGAATTCCCCAGCCAGCATGGCTGGCTGGGGAATTCTGGGAGTTGAAGTCCACTCATCTTAAAGTGGCCAAGTTTGGACAACACTGAAATAGGTGATCTGTCTCTATTGGGTGGAGGCAATGGTCCCTCTCCCATAAAGCTTTAAGCAAAGGAGTCTGAATAGAAGGAGGCTAACAACAACCTGAGCATTAGACACCAGTTCTTGCCCTTTTTGCTCAGGCTGTAGAGCAACAACTTTTGGAAAGTGATCCACGAGCAATAATGTTAGACTTGCCAAACTGCGCACATCTGCTCAGTCATCTGGGAAATCTAATATGAGCAACATATCCACCTTATTCAACTTGTAGATGTATCTCCATTTTGCTCAGAATTCATCTTAGCCTTACACCACATTGTGGTTTACTGCTATTGCCACACAATACTGGGGAAACTTGGGGATTAGTTTACTAGCTATTTCCTGGTAATGCTTGAAAGAAACAAATGGTATGGATAGCATCAATAATGTGCTTACTTCCCACACCGGTATCATCCTACCTTGAAGGTTAGTGATTGATGCTGGACTAACAATGCCATTTAGACTAAGTAGAAGACAGCCATGATTGCTACAGAATGGGTGGTACAGATTCCACAACAATCCAGCTTAGTGATTCTAGCAAGACACAGGCTTAGACATGTACTGGGGTTAATTTAAGTCTATCTTTTCCTGTCACTCACTGACACTCTTTCTTCATTCTAATGCTTCTCTAATACATTCCAAACATTAAAAAAGACCCAGTAATAGACCTGTCCTACCAGAGGATTTCTGAGACCTAGAATCATTCATAGGTCACAACAGCCTCACCACTCCCTTGGGGTAGTGCTAATCTCCCTTCCTCTTACAGGGACTCAAATTAATCATTAGATTGTCACTACAATCAGAATTAGCCCTACACCTGCTTCACACCTTCTTCATCTCATTAATGCTACATAATCATAACTCATGGAACCAGTTCCTGCATAATTATATCCATCTTGTTCTTTCCATGTGAAGTTACCATCTGCAGATTGTGAACATCCACTTTATTTTTGATTCTCTTCATTTAGAGAAATGACAAATGTACACCATGGCTTTGGTTATAAGGATTCAGACTTCCTCCCAGCAGCCTGTGCAGAAATCTAATTTTTTCAGCACTCAGTTTGCAGTTTGGTGCTCCCTTCCCTAGCAACTGCCTCCATTGCCAGTAAAGACTGCTGCAATCAGACAACTGCTAGGAGCACCTATGGAACTGTGTCTGTGGCACCATTGATGATAAGGACCATTACGTGTTCTTCCTTTCATATCTTTATGCTTTCTAATACTTTTTTTAACATTAAAGATTTAACTTGCAATGGAGATTTAAAAAACAAACCGATTTTTCCAGGGAGGCAACTTAATTAGACCGGAGAGTTTTAGGGGAGAAAGACAGGACAGTGGAAGCTTTTTGTCATATTTTCCCTCCTTTACCATTGTGATTTATTTTGTTTTGCTTTTTAATTATCAGTTGCATTTTTATTTGCATATTTAAGTATCAAACTGATTTAAAACAACATTCAAATGTTATCTTTGAGTCTTGGTTGCTGACGCAGGATCAAAATTGGGAAAACAATAGCACTAAATGGAATTTCCTGGCCATTAATTCCCCTTCTCAAAAATCTGTAATGCCGTATAGAGGTCCCTGCCCAGGATTTCTTCCATGTGCTGCTTTATCCTTCAGCTGAGCCTTCTCTGGTATCATTGCTGGTGAAGGATTATGGCAGTTTACGTCTAACACATTGAGGAAATATCATGTGAAGAAGCTGCTTTGGATAGTGTCACATGTTTTGGAAAGTGGTTTTTCGAGATAGGGACTGGGACCATCTCCCTTTTAATCAAAAGAGCCTGATATCAAGATTCAGAAGAGCGCAGACGTTCAGAAGCAAGTGCTTCTTGCAATAATGGAGAATGTATGCAGCTCAGGATTGAATTTTTGAGCTTGCTTTTCTTCTTCTAGATCTTTCATTACCATGCTAGGTAACATCAATTCTTTGAGCAAATGCTTAAAAGGTGAGATATTTATGTGCAGAATAAATGATTATTTGGAGAACAAGGAAGAGAAAGAAGAAAAGGAAACAAAAACTGTTGGGGTTGAATTCCAGAGGAGCACATAAGGCTAGAGAGAAAATGCATTTAGGGAGCAAACACTTTCCAGAGAAGATTTGCCAACTGAGCAGCACGTTCTGAGGGCTGAGGTCATGCCTCTCCTGCAGCTGCTGGATTAGGATCAATCCTTGGCATCAGCCAGTAGGATATTCCAGTCTAGATTATGCTTGTCCCAAACTGCAGAAATCAAATTTGACAACCGCACCACTCCCCAATGCCTGATAAAATGCAGAGGCTATATATACTATATATATATATTGATTACAATAAAGATAAAATACAATCCATGGTTTACACTAGTACTGGACCTTTCCCCAAGTGGGAGTCTGCTCACCATCACCAGCTACTGAGGGGTTCACACATTGTTGTTAGGTAGTTGACTCACCTGCACATGCTGCACACAAAGCACTTGGGATGGTAAGTCCGGCCCAAGGCTGAGATAACCTCTCCAGTGATGAAGTCTTGGCAGCTGTCACAGCGGGTGCCATAGAGCTGCTGGTAGTCATGGGTGCAGATGTATTCCCCATTTTTAAAGAAGAAGCCAGACTGAGCTAGGTCACAGCCACACACTACAAAGGGGAAAGTACATGCAGAGATACAAACGTCAGTCCTTTCATCTCTCTAAACAGGCACCTTTCTCTTTAAAAAACAGACATTGCTTGAGGTGCCATCATGGAGTTGGGGTGTCTGTGTTGACATAATGCTAAAAGCCATGTTTCTCAGTCAAAGGGAAGACATTTAGGAGTTAAACCCTGTCCACACTTCATAGCTATGGTGGATGGCTCCATATTTTATACAGTAATTTTATTGGCAACAGCCCCATTGCTTTTTCCTATAATAAACACAGGAGTTGTGTGTTGTTCCACATAGCTTCTAGGAAGACCTAACACAGGAGTACCAGCCAAGTTTAGGAATTCCCACCAGCCAGTCAAAAGATGACTTCATTCTTATATCCAAGACCACTGGCTTCCAGTTCATTTTTAACCTCAATTCAAAGTAATTGGTCATTCATCTTGCCAATTGAAATGGCTCAAATATGTCTAGAGAGTTACCTCCTATCATCTCACCCCATTCACTCTGTGGGATTACCTAAAGAGGCCACCTGTTTTTTATTCCATCACTGATATCCCATTTTTATCCCATCACTAAGGCTTGACTGGTGCTGGTATCTAAGAGGGTCGTTCTATGGCTGGGCTTTGGCATGCCCTGCTGCAGGAAATCTCTTGGCTTCTCCCTGACAATATTTTGATCAAGCTTGAAAGTGTTTCTGCTCCAGCCAGTTTCTTCTTCCTGGTCTATCAGTTTCATCGTTGCTATCTGAATGACATTTTCTGCTTATTTTTTGTTTATTAACTTTTTAACATGCATATTTACTGTGGTTGTCAACAGTCACAGTGTGTATGTGTGCAGGATCACATTATGCAATACTTTCCCAAGGTAAGGGTGTGTCTAATGAGCGCTTATGTGTAGGAGAAAAGCTCTGTGCAAAACAATCTTTAGAAAACAAGTTGGGCAGGAGGCCACCCAGAATAATTATGGAAGTACAAGGCTGATTTGGTAGCTTCACTGCCCACTTTGGATGATTTGGCATTGGGCAGTGCGATCAGGCTGTATCGATGAACTCTCTGTGTGAAAGGCCCATCTGATGTGTTAGAGTTGCATCAGTGTGCTCTGGTGCACAGGTCACCACTAGATACCGTACTGGTGCCTGAACCAGTTTTGAGTTTCTCTGTCATGACAGACTCCAAGCCACCTGAGTGAAACATTTTCTTGAATAGCGAGGATAAACTTTCTTCGGCCACCTATCCCTGCCCTTTAATAAGCAGTATCTCCCCACCCCTACCCTGTACTCTAGGAGGGTAGGGCACTTCTTGCAGTCCTCTAAGATGCCACTGCTGCATTGCTGGCACAGTACAGTAGAAATAAGGCAGGCTGAGGGTGGGGGAGATGTTGTGGAGGGAGATTTCTGCTGAGAGAAAGCTTGGCTGCTGCTTTGGAGAATTGTCTGTGAGCCTTGGTGCATGACGGCAACAAGCTGTGCCCTCTTGATTGACTACAACCAGACAGGTTGGGAGGCTAAGTAGGCTGGCAGAGGAAAGCCTGACCCCTGCTCGGGCCAGCAGTTCAGTTGGGCCAATGCCATCCTTCCTACTTCCCAGGATGCCACTGGTGTATTGGATCCTTAATGGCAATTGCTGCCAGGAGAAGGAATGAGAAATAGTTCTTGTCTTCTGAGCCAACTTGGCCTAAAATTCCCCAGTGAAGAAAGGGAGAGAAACAAACTGGCAATGCAGTGAAGAAACGGCTCATTTACTAGACTCACATGCCATGACCCACTGAAAGAGGGGTGGTGGTCTGAACAGTAGTTTTTGAAGAGCTTTGCAATTCTTCAGTCACACAGGCAAGCCTTCCTCAACTTACCACTGTCTTCCTATGCTCTTCAGTACATCCAATTCCCAGCTAGCATACATTTGGGAATTTTACTCCCATTACATCTGGAAGACCCCAACTGGGGTAAGTTACTGAACAATTCTGAATGGTGGGGGGAAGACTACATTTGTCTTTCAAGCATGGTTTGTTGGGAAGGTTAAAAAGGTGAACAGGACCAAGATAAAGAAATAGCAAGAATGTAACAAATGCTAAATTTAATTTAAAAAATACAGTTAATTCATTTATACTCCACATCTACACACTGCTTCTTACTTTGCCTTTGGCTCTTTATATTTCTCACCTCTCTCCTTTCAAGAATCTCATCAGCTCCATCCAACTACAACTTTCTCAGTCTTCCCATTCCTCTCAAATCATTCATTCATCTCTTATATATGTTTTGCAATCTGATCCTCATTGACCAAAACACCGCAGTATACTTCTTTGGTATACAATCCATATTCATCCTTGAGCCAACTCTTCTTGTTTCACCACACATTTCTTAAGTTATCCATTCCCACTGCATTCAACTTACTTTTATGTTTCTCCTGACATACCTAACAATGACAACCATATGACAAAGAAGCCAGAAGTGCACTCTCACATGCAGATATTTTCATTTTTCACATTTCATTCCTTTCACATTATCAGACATGTCCTCCAAATCAATAAATGTACAATAAACTTTCCTACATTCATGCACTTCTCCTTTTGCTAAGGAGCAAAAAACTAGTCTGGACACCTGCTATCTGGCATAACCCCATACAGCACGTCCAAAACTTTACTCCTGTTTCCTTTTGTTCCCTTTTGATTAGAATTCTGTTAAACAACTTCCAGGTATACTAAACAAACTAAGTTCCCTGTAGGTTTGCATTCACTTTTGTTACTGCTGTCTTTGTTTAAGAGAACAATAATGGCATTCCTTCTATTGTCAGGCACAAATACAGTCTTCACACACACACATTAAACAAGTTGTGTGCAGCCACCCCACAATGAGACCACATCCATACAGGTAGTCCTCAGCTTATGTCCATTTGTTCAGCAACCGTTCAAAGTTATGGCGGTGCTGAAAAAATGGATGTACAACCGATCTTAGAAGTTCTGGCCATTGCAGCAATCCAGGTGCTCAAGTTCCCAGCTTGCAATTCTAATGTCACAGGGAGCCCCAGCTACACCTGCAGAATTATCATTTTTCAATATTTTCACAGCATTTAGGTCTTCCTTTTCATCGTTTTTTTTCCCCTTGGGCACTAATATTTATAGCACTTTTTCAGTTCCACTCTTTGACACACAACATTTTTGCAACTATATTTTCTCTCCATCTTATTATATAACATCTTTCTCCTACTTTCACTTTTTTCAGCAATCTTCATATGTGCATCTTTTTTTTTCTCATTCACTTCATCATTCCACCAAGCATCCTTCTCTTTATTTCCCATTAGGGAACAAGGATTTCCTTTTAGTTTGGAAGCAAATAAAGAGGGCTGCCAAGTTCTCTCCTGGTGGTTCTGAGTCCCTTTTGAAGCTGGAGACAGGCTGAAGTCTTTGTCTAACAGAATAATCAACACCGAACTCCAGGAGGCTGGAGACACACGCTTTTCCTGTGTTCTGAAAGCCAGCATGGCCAGCAGAGTCTAAGAACATGAGAACATCCAGATCTGCTAGTTTTTTTTTTTTCTATACACGGACTATACTGGTACTCTAAGATAAGTTGTTTTGTATAGGCTTCCCAGGTTGCAACCCAGTTAATCAATCCAGATATTGCCCTTGGCCTGAATTATGGAGTAGGAACCTATGCGGCTGCAACAAGTCCTGCTGATTCTTTTTTTTGTCTGCTGTTCATCTTTCTCCCTGGAGGCTGATAAGTGGGATGATAATGCTGCCCCATAAGCAGGTTAGAGAAAAGTTTAAGTGTGTGTGCGTGGGGCGGTCTTTAATGTTGAAGGAAAATTTTACTACTTAGATTGTCTGGGTTATAACCTATTATTTAAAAAATGATTGCAAATAATGGATTTTCTGAAAGAAAGTCCTAGTGATTCACAACTCACACCTCCAGATGACTGATTTTGGGGGGGATTAGTCAAAATGCATTAGCTATTTGCAGAACTATGCCCCCATCATGCCACAACAGTGATAATAATTCTATATCCCTGTAATAAGGAGGACGTCTTTCATTGAGTACCTTCTGCATTCTCCCTATCCTCAGATGTAGTAATGATTAAGATCAGTGATAAAATATTCTGAATGTGCACACAACATAGGAGAAATTCAAACCTGGGTTCCTCTAGGTGTTTTAAACCACTGTTGATCTCTTCATTCACTATGGTTTGTTTACTGGATATTGGGTGGAGGACCCTCTGAATGAGATCACACTCACTTCCCCAGTTGAGTACACCATCTAGCAAAATGCTAGTAATACATTTTGTATCTGTTGTAGAAGGCTATTTTTAAAAAAGGGGTAAAAATGGTCTGGCATATGAGCAAATGTTCTTTGGAGATACTTTCTTCATGGGCTTGGCGTGTAAAAGTTCAGGTGCACTGAATTCATTCCCACTTCCTTAATTTTCTGATCTGGGCAGGTTCTTCTGTTGCATTTCAAACATGTTTTGCAACCCCAATCTAGAATCTTGTTTAGATCAGCTTGCAACCTTTCTCATCACAATTAAAACAACTTGCGTCTACTCTTCTTTGGTGGTTTGCAAAACTAATATACAATTAGATTTCAGTTGCAGTGGCTACTCTGGATCACTGATGTCAAATTGGGCAATACATAGACAGTGCTACATATAATCAATAGAATGATCCCATTTTTGGGGATATGGCGGGGGTGGGGATACTCCAATGACTTTGCTATTACATAAAGGCCTCAGATTAAGGCTCTTAAGATTCCAGGAGGAGGAGGAGGCAAAGGTCAGAAAAATATGCTCACGTACAGAGCAGGTCAAACAATCTTAGTATGTCAACGTGGCTGTTGCTCCTTCTCTCATGCATTTACCAGCAAAGAGCAAGAGGAAGAGTTATGGCATAATGGAGGAAAAGCAGGTGTCCTGGTATTTGCAGAGCAAGACGTCCTGGGATTTCTGAATGGAGACTTCGTAGGTGGCCAGGCAGTTGATGCGAGTTCTGCTACGGCCTAGAATAACTTGCTAACCACCTTAAACTGAACTTCCTTGGGTAGTACCAACTTGAGGTAGAGTCAGACAGAAGAGGTCTATGAGCTAACAACCTCCTTTCTATCCTAAAGATTTGAACATGAGGAAACTTCAAGAATAATTATGGAGGCTCCATATAAGATGATAAAGACAAGAGACAAGATCTCCCAAAAATACTTTTCTTTTTTTTGCCTTTGTTTTGTTTTTAATTTAATTACAAAGTTGGCTAGTAAATTTTGGACTGAATTCCTTGGGCTACCTAAAGTGAATTGCATATATTATATAATTTCATAAAACCCCATACAAAAACAATTACATTCCTATGAAACACTTCTAAAGTGTGCTGTGTAGCTCGTATATGAAAATTGCACTTCAAATCATATATGTTTGGTTAATATTCCTTTTAAATAGCATTTGGCTGGTATTTTAAATAGCTATTGCTTGTGTTTTATGTAATGGTACAATATGTTGAATTCATTTTCAGACTATCCCTGTGGAAGTTTTGTTCCAAAATGTATTTGTTATTTTATGCAATGTAAAAAATACCAAATAAAAAAAGAACAAAATATTGTTTTGCATTCCTATGAGGCCTTTCTTTTTCTGTATATTTGCTCAATAACAAAGCACATCTTGTTCCTTTTCAGAGTAAATACCAAAACAGCCTGCAGGACCAAAGAGATACAACCTTGCTTATTTAAGTGAATTAATGTTACTGTATATGCCCATTCTGTCTTTTAAGAACCAGTACCATGGTGCTTCTATGCTTGCTTTTCACATAACCTTTCATGTATTAATGTATGTCCTCATTTTTTGGCCATGACACATAATGCCCCTCCTTGACCACTGACTGACAGGAGCCACATGTGACAAAGTTTTCACCCACTGCATACAAAAGTCTTGGCCAACTTTGAAGTTCTTTCCCATCATCCTGTTTCCCGATATTTGGGTTACTTTTCAAATGCCACATGTGCTCCTAAGCCTATTTTGAGATGACATTGCCTTCTTCTGAAAACAGAATGTTGTGAATTATTAAATTATGTCCCTGCCCTACTGATGGAAGGGTGAATGGGGAGGAGTAAAGCAAAGAAGCTGAAAAATGAATGGCCCAGAACAGATGTGAGTGGGCTCCTTATTGCATTTATTTGAAACAGCTGTTCTTCTAAGGGGTAGTAACCAGATCTATAAAATGTACAACATGAATTACAAGAGATTCATCCTACTCCCAATTCACCACTTCTGTCACTTTAACAAAGTAGTGAATTTTTCTCACATTAGCTAGCACTTGTGTCTGTCATCAAACTACACAGTGGCCTGCACCAGCACACACATACGCATATACACTCATCTAAAATGATCTCTCTGCCTGTTAGGGAATAAGCAGTGGGGAACCTCCTGTGGTCCTACAGATATTTGGGAACTGCAGTTCCCAGCATCTCTCCCAACTGGTCATATTGTCTGGAGATGCTGGGAGTTGCATTTCAGCAACTTCTATAGGGACACAAATTGAGAGAGAGAGAGAGAGAGAGAGAGAGAGAGAAAGAGAGAGAGAGAGAGAATGTAGAATTGACCTTGAGCATAAGGGAAAGAATGAACAAGCTGTTAATGGGGGACTTGTGCAAAAGATTAAACAGTTCTGAGAAAGAGAGAAGTGCATATAAAGAAGCCCAAAGTAACCCCACCTCGATTTGTTTAGTATAAGATGGGACAAAGAGAAACTTAGATAGGATTTCAAGACTGATATCACCCCTTTGAGGTAGGCCAGATCAAGAAGCAGGGACTGCAGGGGTTCCAGGAATGCTCTTGGTTGTTGTAAGATAGAATATCAGACTCTTGAAAGAGAGATCATTCTTAGCAAGTTTTTTTATTAGATTAATAGGCATGGCTTCCTTCAAAGTATTTTTGGAATTACACATTGGTGAAGTTCCTTAGACTTCTAGTAAAGATCCCTAGATAAGGTCATGGAAGTACCATTCTACAGGCTTTAGGGGTGAAATGATGAGTAATAGACCAGGTATTGTATCTATGTGTGTGTCTGTATTATCCCGTCTTTCTTATTTTTATATATAACTCAAGGCGGCGAATATACCTAATACTCCTTCCTCCTCCTGTTTTCCCCACAACAACCCTATGAGGTGAGTTGGGTTGAGCGAGACTGACTGGCCCAAAGTCACCCAGCTGGCTTTCGTGCCTAAGGCGGGACTAGAACTCCCAGTCTCCTGCTTTCCAGCCTGGTGCCTTAACCACTGGGCCAAACTGGCTCTGATACGCTTATCTCCAATCTCCCTGTTTAAGCAAGAACCTTCTCACTTTACCTAATCCCAACTATACCCAGGCTCCTCCTTTCCACTCCACCTACTGACTTATATTTTAGCCAAAAGAACTTGTTTATTGGCATTCTGCAACTGCTTAGGGACACTAAATTGAGGTTTCAGTGTCCTTCTTTTTAGCCATAACACCAAGTTTTCAGGATTAGGGCAGATGACAGAGATGCCTCAGTTAAAGGCACCATTATCTCTGCCCTTTTCTCTTTGCTCAGTAAATGGATCTACTGGCATCATATACTTTAAATAGGTTCACTCTTGTTTAAAGCCCCATTGAATCCTGTCTCAGCTTGGAACCATATTGAGCACTTACCCTGGCATGTGAAACATCTGATGTGGAAGTGATTGCTCTGGACACGCACCACCTCGCCTTTACAAGTATCTCCACAGCGATAGCATTGAATTATGGTGGGACGACCCCCAGAGTTGTATGGGTTTTGTTGAAAAGGAACTGCTGGCGAAAATGAAAGATACAGATTATTAGTATGGCAGAAGGTGGGGTATCCAAAACCAGTTGACATTTTTGGGGGGGGTTAACTAATTTGCTATACACTATATATACATACATACATACATACATACATACATACATATATATAACAATTTGCTCTTTACCTAGATACACAAATATATGCAGATGTAATTATACCCTTAATCATGTCTTCCTCCAGATGTTGCCTGTTGTGAAACTGATCTGTCTATCCAAGGCCATTCCCCTAGAGACTTGCAGCAGCATCGCAGCATCACCCAGTCATCGCTGAAAGGACAGAAAGCCTGTCCTCATTGCCACTATTTTGGCACAGTGATGGTTGGATGATGCTAGCAGATGCTACAAGTCACCAATGGGGAAGTGACCCAGGAGAAGGAGGAGCCGGCCAATCCTTTATGTCAAGGAAGAGCTCAGCAAGAACGGAGGCAGAAGTTAGCTGAGGAAGGAAAAGCAGACAAACACTGAAAGCAGTTTGTATATTTTGGCTATTGTAAATAAACTGTTGTTTAGCTCAAAGTCTCAAGCCATTTCACAAAGAACAAACATTCCTCAACCATTGTTCACAAACTGAGGATGTGAAGAACACTTGATGAGAGCTATTTTAAGGGCCACCATTTGACATATATTGCTCTTGCTTGGAAAAATAAAAGCAGAGGGTCAAGAAGTTATTTTATCTTGAGTTCTCATGGGATTCACACGCTACAAGTTAGGAACAGATTTGTTAAGGTTAGTTCAACTAGACCTGAGAATTCTTCAGATAAATCTCTCTCTCTCTCTCTCTCTCTGTGTGTGTGTGTCAGAGAGAGAGAGAGGCCTCTCAAAGTAAGCTGTTGGTTGTAGAAGTTCCCAGGAGAATTGGCTGAGAGATAAGGCTGTCATTCCTCTGAGTACTTTTGCAAAGGGAAGCTTTTCTATATCTGTTTCTTTTCTCCTAAAGTTTGCTCAGCAAAGTAATTTTACAGTTTTACACTTTTACAGTTTTATAGTTTTTTATTTGTAATTGTTTGTATGTATATATTCTTTTTAATTGTCGTACACTGCCCAGAGTCACTGTGTGAGATGGAAGGCTATATAAATATGATAAACAAACAAACAAATCTGTGCTGCAGACTACTGGAGGCCTCTCAAAATGACCAAAAATTCTTCCCAAACCATGCTCTTGTTAGAGAGTACAGCACCAATGATAATGTCATCATATTAGAGAAGAGGAGAGAGAGAAACCCTTGTTATCAGAGGAACGGTTTTGCTGAGGACAGACAGCCTGTTGAAAGCTTTAGAAACTCTCTTGCAAAGACCCGCACTATGTACTTGCAGTCTAGTGGTCCTAGCACTTCAATCAATGGTTTTTGTGCAGTTAGTTCATCTTTTCCTTCTTAAAAGTTAATTTCTAATGTGTGGTAAAGGGAAACAAGGGAGAAAACGTGATGGAAAATATTGGAGGATTATAAATGGAAGATGATACTGTTTGGATCTTATAAAAGTCTGTAAGTGATCCAGGAAATGAGATAAGCTCATATATTGCTCGGTGAGATCTGTGCTCCTCGACTAGAGAGGGGAAGTGCTTAGCCTTCAAAAGCCTATTAAGAAAAAAAGACAATTCACGATTCAGTGGTGGAGGGGGCTGGCTTTTCTGCTGTGCATCTCCAATCATATCACGGGCATTAACCAATAGGTGCCCAGGACTGCATAGCACACACAGTACCAGCAACTGCGACAAAAATGCTTCCTTGGGAAATTAAGTATGTATTTCCAGTGACAAAATACTGCAGTGTGATTGCCGAATAATGCAAGATACACATACCAAAAGCATTTCCTTGGGAAAACATGTACGGCGTTCCTAAGGCAGACTCTGTGCTTTGCCTGAAATCACCGTGGTTTTAATTTTCCTTCCTTTCAGCCTCCACCCCAGACTCCTTGCTTTGCCAGCCTTATCCTTCTGTTCCCTGATCTCCCAGTATGTTCCTTCCTATTCCCTCCATTCTTCCAGATCCTCAAACTGCAGGTAAGCAATGGTCTCCTGCTCCTTTAAATGACTCGCTGTCAAATCTCTTGTTTTCCCTTAGGCCCAGAATTCCCTCTGAAAAGACGTGCATGAAGCCACCCCTTTCTTTCCAAAGCCCACAGTTTACGTGAACATTTTTCCTTGCTTTCAAGGAATCAAAGCTTAAATATGTACATTTGTATGTTCACATCCATCCCTTGTTACCCTTGTTTCCAGATGTCTTCGATTACAACTCCCAGAATTCCCAACCACTGGCCATGCTGTTTGGGGCTTATAAGTGTAACATTTGGAGGGTTCTAGTGTTCCTAATCCTGCTCCACACAATTAAAATTAATCTGTAAGTTCCTTGGGACAGGGATTTAGCATGTTGCCTACATAAGTCTTCAGATCTCTATGCAATTTGAGTTCTTGATGGCACTTCATAGATAAACAAAAGATTCAGTTCCAGGCATGCTATAATAAAGTGTGTATGTGTGAGAGGGTGTGTGTAGTGCCTTCAAATCAGTTCTGACTCCTGGCAACTATATGGACAAGTCCCTGGAGGTTTTTTTGCAACATTTTCAGAGTGGTTGGCCATTGCCTTCTTTCTAGGGCTGAGAGAGAGGGATTGAGTGCCCCAGTTGGCTTCCATGCCTAAGGCAAGACTAGAATTTGGGTTTCCCTACTTCTAGTCCAGTGCGTTAACCACTACCCTACTGTTATATTTAGACAGCCAGTGCAGTATAGAGGTGAAGATGTTGAACTTGAACTTGGAGACCGAGGTTTAAGGCTACCCTCAGCCATGGAAGCTCACTGGGCAACTTTGGGTACTACTACTATTACTCCTACTAATAATAATGCCGTATAGGATTTCAGAATGATGAGAGTGCAGTGGAACAATTCTTCCACTGTCTGCTTTCCAAACTGAGAAGAAAGAATCACCAGATGTTCGGAGAAAAACCCCTTTGCGTCCAAACTGTAGGCAACAACAGATGAGGGGTGTTAGTGTCAAGGAATTAATTTCCACTTAAACAAATAAACATACCAAAAAGATCTATGTTGAATGATTTATCCATCAATTATGATGGGCTTCTGGTCTCTAAGGAAAACTTCTTAGTGTCCATAGCAACCAGTCACCAAGCTGGGGAGCTACAAGGCTGATAATGCAAGAGAGAATGAGCATGGTAAGGAGAGGTAAGAGGGGCAGGGAAGTGAACTGCACGGGCTGAAGGTTTAAATTAAATAGCAAGTCAGGCGCTATGGCTCTGATTCTTATTGTATGAAAACACACAGACATGCTAGTGAAAACAGGATCTCCCTATGGGAATTGCTTGATATCTCTGCTCAGTATTAAATGGCCATTCCTAAGTTCAGCATTAAACATGGACTCCTGGTGGAATTTCTCCTCCGATACTTAACTTCCATTGTTTCCTTCATCTCCAATTGTTTTCCAGCAGCTTCCTATTCCCCCTTGTCCTCCCCCCGGCACTGCTGTACATCACATTATCCTGTTCTAGAGGGACAACTGATCAAAGCAAACCTCATTATATCAAAATAGTCCAGCAAAAAGGTAAGTAGCATTAGAAAGTATATAAGATGAGATGCAAAATAAGGAGGAAGAGGAAAGGGAAGGAGGGAGGAAAAAGGGAAAACAGAACGGAATGCCATAATAGCACACTGGTTTGTTCCTGCCTGGAATGGACATGCTTACAAATTCACCTTATTGCAGTTAATGCATTTATGCCTTTTTTGCAACAATGCACAGAACCATGTGGGATACATTGCTCCATGGTGCAACTTCATGAACCCAATTCGTTGATCATAGATAGTGATGTGTTGCAAACAATTTCTGCAAATCATCATATTTGCAGAAATGGCTACGACTGGAAGAATAATGGACAGTAGCTATTCTGCCATAATTTATCAGCAGACACAACATGTCTCTAAGAATTGGAGACATTCTTTATAAAATTAGTGGTATACCATATATGGTACAGAGATGCCATCCAAGTGATTTTATTGTGGGAAACAGGGATGTCCACAGTATGTGTGTGTGTGTAGGGGGGGGGGCAGAATTAAAAAGGCCAAGATGATGGCTGCCACTGCCAGAATGAAACCCTGCCCCCTTTTTATGTGTGTCCCATGCAAGATGCACGTAAAAAGGGGTGGGGCTTCAATTGCACAGTCACAGGTGTCATCTTGACTATTTTGAACCCATCCCTCCAATGGCTAAAGCAGTCTTCTCCAACCTCTTCAGATGTTTTAGATTTCAACTTTCATAAGAAATTACTGAGGTCGAAATCTAGCATGTCTCAAGCAAGAGGGTTTCACACTTTTTCACGTCACAGATCCTATTACTTAAAAAAAAAAAAAATCCCAGAACCCTGGAACCCACAGGCTAAGCTCTAATGATAGGAAATTGACTGTAATCAAGTGATTTTTTTTTTCTCCCTTACTCTCCCATGGAATCCTAGCAAGTTCTCATGGAACCCTTAGATTCCATGGAACACAGTTTGGAAAAGCCTGACACCAGTTTGGGACAGCTGACTGAAAGCCGTTTGCTGCATGAGTCTAGAATGTGGGGCCAGGAAGGAAGAAATATTCATACTATTAACGTAAGGTAAGTAATGCTGGATAAAATGTGCTTATTGCAGAAAAGTCTGATTTTGTTTGAATAAGTATAATTACCTTGGGCTCTTAAAATCTTCAAAGTGACCCCAGATAGGGATCATGTTTTTTAGTTCTCACTAACAAAAGCTAAATATTAACGTTCGCTGTTTTCTGAAACGACACCTGTTTTGTAGAACAGCCTCTCTAGAAGCTAGATAAGTTGCTGCCGCTGCCTCGTCCTCCTTGGTGAGCTTCCAGAAGTTGGTAAGATGGAGGTCATTTGAGGACTTAGGTGAAATAGCCCTGTCTATGCTTATTGTTAATGTTAACTGCTTGCTACTCCATTTTAAATTGAATTAAATTATCTTGGTAA